TCCACAATCAGCTCCTGGCCTAGTTTTCACAGCTGATATTGAGCTTCTCCAGCAGTTCTTTCTGCAGATGTAATAGATCAGATTCCTATGCATACCTATGCATACCATCATGTGAAATCCATGTACCTGCGTTTATGTCTCTTAAAAAAACATTTGCTATGAATAAGTCATTGAATGTCAAAATTCAATCATTCTCTCTCCAGCTCCATTTGAATACATGACATTATTCTTATATTAACACTGTGTAACACAAAAAGTGCACCACAGGTAAACTAGGGACTTTAGTTAATAATGTAACAATATTGGTGCACTACATTTAACAGATATACTACACTCATGTAATCTATTAGTAACGGGGAAAATTGTATATGAATGTGTGAATATGTATCAGGGTGGGAAGACTAGAGATGTAGAAATTCTGTATTCTGTGCAACTCTTCTTTAAACCTAAAATTATTCTAAAATATAATCCTAAATAATGTTTTAAGTGAAAATATTCAACACTCTAAGCATTAACTTTTAACACTTAATTTACACTTTAATAATTATTTAATACTTTATTAATTGAAATATAATCCATATATCCAATGCTTTATTAATCAGTACTAGTCAGGATTATGATTACTTTTAAATATTTTTAAGCAGGGTAGGGGAGTTCTCTTTAATAAAATCTTGCATAAACATGCAATAAACACATATATCCAGAGTTGCTGTGGAGGACAAATTGATAGGGCTACAACCAGGATTACGTAAGAAAACAGTGTTCTATTAAATAAATTTCAAGTATTAAAGAAAATATCTAGAGGGAAACCATTAAGCTGAACTTTGATTATATCTATGGTTTTGTCAAATCTAAAAAAGTAGGTGCTCACAACAGAGTTAACTGATTCAGGCAAGAATTAATGGTGAATATTAAAATCAGTGGCTGACAATTTGCTAAAAATAGGATATTTATGTGATCTGAAAGTATTTCCCCACAAAATACTATTACTTACAAAGGGAAAAATACTTATATTTACAAAGGAGAAAATGGGCTTTAATGGGTCAGGAATTATGAAAATGGTACCGGATAGGGCAGGGTTCAGTTCTGTTGTTCACAGGGTCACTATAGGTCATAACTTGACAGCACCTAACAACAACAATAGCAACACTGAAGAAACATAGCACACAGAACCTTACATCACTAGTAATATGACAAAACAGAATGATATTCCTTCTAGTAGACTGACCAAGACATAGTATTCTTCTTTTGTATTCTTACTAAAACATATATCTTGAATTTAAAGATCAGAAAATATCAAACAAACCCAAATTGAGGAGCATTCATTCTATAAATCTATTTCATAGCACTTTAAAATTCTCAAAGTCACAAAGGATTTTTAAAAAATTGATGAAATTGATAAAATATTTTTTTTAAATACCAGGATTCATAACAACAAAAATGCATGCGATCCTGGATCTGAAAAGGAGTGGGAAAATAGTGAACTTTGAGAAGAGTCTACAGATGAGATAATAATATCATATCAATATTAATTCTTCATAGTAAAGATTTGTAAAAATAATTCCTGTTAGTGTGCTAGAGATGACCCGGTTTAACCCTACTGGAGGCTGGCAGTATGGGCACAAGTGTGCTTGATATATACACAACTTCTTTGAACGCAGGCAGCCACTAAGGTAGGAATTAGAGACAACTCCCACCTGTCCTCTGTGCAGAGCTTCTAACTGATTCCAACTGCTTCTATCTTGGCTGACAAAGAAAAACAAAAATAGACTAGAAATTTTAGAATTTTTCTGATTTATCTGGAACAGAAAAATCACAGGATCACTCAGAAGAGGGCCCTTTCTGTTGGTGACATTGAATGACTGACAGAACTGCACAGTCACACACATTCAAAGCAGCATGATCAAGGCACCACCATTACGAAGTTGAGTATGGCCAATTTGAGTCTGCTCACTGGCTTAATGTTATGTAAATTTTCCCTCACCTTAAAAATGACTCGTATGATAGGGTATTGTGGTTATCACAAGAGTCCAGAATTAGGTTGCGGAGGGATTGTATACCAATGAAAGACTTTTACTTTTCAAAGAGAGGAGCGAACTAGGGGCAATGGGTGGGCAGGGAGAAAAGTGCAACAATGAATGAATGGAAATCCAAAATTTCTTTTGCTGTTGTTGTTGTTATGGCCATCGAGTCGCTTGCAACTCACAGCGACCCTATGTACAACAGCCCTAAATTCTGCTCTGTCCTGTGCCAATTGCACTGTCTCTGACACACCCAGCCCGATTACCCCAGTCACTGAATCAATCCACCTCATAGAGAGAGGGCCTTCCCCTCCTACACTGTCCTTCCACCCTACCAAGCATGATGTCCCTCTTCAAGGACTGGTCCCTCCTTACAACATGTCCAAAGTATGTTAGACGAAGCCTCAGAATCTTTGCCTCCAAGGAGGCGCCTGGTTTAACCCTTTCCAGGATGAATCTGTTTGTTTTCCTAGCAGTCCATGATACCCTCAATACTAGTAAAATTTAAAAAAAAACAAAAAACAAACAAAAAAACCCAAAGAGCATTCCGGCTGCACCCTCTCTAAGACATATCTGTTTGTTCTCTTTGCCATCTGGGGGATGTTCAGTGCTCCTCTCCAACACCACAGCTCTAAGGCATCAATTGTTTATCTGTCATCCTTATTCATTGTCCAGCTCTCAGGTGCATAGTTAGTAATTGGAAAGACCATGGCCTGAATCAGATGCACCTTAGTCCTCAAACTGACATCACTACTCCTCAATAACCTGGCAAAGCCCATAACTGCACATTTTCCCATTACAATGAGTCTCCTTATTTCCTGACTGCTCGTATCAAGTGTTTTAATTGTGAATACAACCAAGATGAAGCTGTTGACAGTCTCAGTCTTCTCTCCATCCATCATGATGTTGCCAGTGGTCATGAATCTTCCAGTGGTAAGAATCTTAATTTTCCTGAAAATGATATGCAATCCATACCAAGAGCTTCCTTCCTTGATCTTTTGCAACATGTGCTTCACGTCTCCCTTTCAACAAACAGGGTTGTGACATCTGAATAACGCAGGTTATTGATGCGTCTCCTTCCAATCCTGATGCCATACTGCTCTTTCATAGAGTCCAGATTCTTGAATAATTTCCTTGGCATACAGATTAAATAGGTATGGAGAGAGAATACAGCCTTGGCACATTACCTTTGCAATTCCAAACCATGCAGTGCTCCCCAACTCCATTAGCACAATAGCCTCCTGATTCTGGTATAAGTTCTGCATGAGCACAATCAAGTGCTCTCAGATTTCCATTCTTCTCAATGTCAGCCACGATGTGTCATGATCCATACAGTCAAATGCCTTTGAATATCCAATAAAGCTCAAGTAAACATTCTTTTGGTATTCCTTACATTCAGCTGGGATCCACCTGACATCAGCAATGATATCCCTGGTGCCATGACCTCTTCTAAATCCTGCTTGAACTTCTGGCAGTTCCTTATCTATGTACTATTCCAGACATTTTTGAATGATCTCCAGCAGTATTTTGCTCATAGGTGTTACCAATGATACTGTTTGATTATTTCCACATACACTATCTATTTCTAACTTTTTCTTGCTATTCTAGGTTTTTCACATATCTCAGTAAATGTTAGAAGGAGCTTGTTTAGATTTTCACTACTATTGCATGAAACTATAGATGAATATTTACATCTTTAAAATGGTGGGCAGTGTGACCCATAAACACGGTATCTCTATAATTTCTCTTAGTAATGTTCATGTTTTCAGTGTATAGACCCTGCACATTGAGCTATAGAAAACATTATCTCTTATGCTGAGTGAAATAAATCAGTAACAAAAGAACAACTCTTGTATGAGTCCGATATTATGAAAACAAAGGAAACATTTATACAAAGAAAGAAACATTCTTTGATGGTTACTAGACATAGAATGGGAGTGGGAGATGAAAGGGGGGAGGGGAGAAAATTGTATCTTTTCAATTAGTTCCAATAGGGGTTTTATTTCATTGTATTTTCTACATAGATAATAATAATAATGTCTTTTGAAAATTATGGTATTTTATACTCTTTTGAAATCTGAATATTTTGTATTTATTTTTCTTTACAGTGTCTAGAACTTTACAGTGTCTTTACAGTGTCTAGTACAATGTAGAATAGAAGTGATGACTGGCAATACACTTGTCTTGTTCTTAAAGGGTTGAGAATTCTTCACCAAAGAAGATATTCAGATGGCTAACAAGCACATGAAGAAATGTTCAAAATCCCTAGCTCAAAAGAGAGATGCAAATTAAAACTATGAGATATCACCTCACCTCAGTCAGAATAGCAAAATTTAACAGAGCAAGCAACAAATGCTGGCAAGATTGTGGAGAAACTGGAACCCTTATTCACTGTTGGTGGGAGTGTAAAATGGTGCAACCACTGTGGAAGGTGGTATGGCACTTTCTCAAAAAGTTGCACATAGAGATACCATTTGACCCAGCAATCCCATACTGGTAATACACCCCAAAGAGACCATAACTGACTTCCAAGCAGATATATGCACACCCTTGTTTATTGTGGCTTTGTTCACAATAGCAAAGAGTTGGAAACAACCTAAGTGTCCATCAACAAATGAATGGATAGAGAAGCTGTGGTATATTTACACAATGGAATACTATGCTGCATTGAAAAACAAGGAACTCATGCAATATTATTCAAAATGGGTGACCCTGGAGGACATTATGCTGAGTGAAGTATCTCAGTCACAAAAGGACAAATACTGCATGGTGCCACTGTTGTAAAACAGGACTGACCTCGGGGTTGGAGGGAGATTGAGAAAGATGGGTTCAATAATGTATACTGCATTGAAACAGATGAGGGAGAAAACTGTTTAAAAGGGGTATGTGATTGGGTATTTTTGTCATGACAGGAGTCCAGAGTGAAGGCTGCATAATGGAGTAGACGCAGGGAGGATATGTAAAACAATGAAAGAATTTTTCTTTTGCTTTTCCAAGAGGGTAGTGTACTAGGGGGGAGGGTTGGCAGGGGAGAAAAGTGCAACAATGAATGAATGGAAATCCAAAGTCTCTGTAGATTTTCAGTGTAATTAATAATAATTTTTTAAAAATTATGAAAATATGCATAGAAAGCAACTTAAAAAAGGGTTGAGAATCAGGTATTTCACCACACAATGAATGAATGGAAATCCAAAATCTCTGTAAACTTTCAATAAAATTGTTGTTATTTGTTATGTGCCGTTGAGTCGTTTGCAACTCATAGCGACCCTATGTACAACAGCCCTAAACCGTGCTCTATCCCGTGACAATCTCATTGCCTCTGACACACCCATCCCGATTACCCCAGTCAGTGAATCAATCCACCGCATAGAGGGTCTTCCCCTCCTGCACTGTCCCTCTACTCTACCCAGCATGATGTCCCTCTCTAAAGACCTGTCTCTCCTTACAACATGTCCAAAGTATGTCAGGCGAAGCCCCAGAATCCTTGCCTCCAAGGAGCAGCCTGGTTTAACCCTCTCTAGGCTGAATCTGTTTGTTTTCTTGGCAGTCCATGGTACTCTTCTCCAGCACCACAGCTCAAAGGCGTCAATTCTCCTTCTACCCTCCCTAGTCATTGTCCAACTCTCTGATGCATAACAAGTGATTGCAAAAACCATGGCCTGTATCAGGCGCACCTTAAATTAAAATTAAATTTATTAAATTTAACATGAAAATTAATAAATTTAAAAAATTTACCATAAAAAAAAATGACTCGATCAACCCCTACTCGTAACAAATTCTTCCTTACAGTCTTAATCACAAATTCTTTACCAGCTGCAAATGCTGTTTTTAAATCACTGATGAACCTTCGGGCTTTTCCATGCATTAAAGTAAAGCTAAATAAGAACTATATTGAACCTGTTCTGACTAACGAAGAGATTTTTCCCCACTGTCTTGAGATTTCCAGTACTTTCATAGAGAGAATTCAAAGTCAGGTACTTACCTATTGTATCTCTTCCAGCTGACTTTTCAGATCCTGACAGGTTTACCAGCACAACACCTCCAATGCTATGAGAATAACAGTCATCACTAATAAGCGAAAGAGTAAATTTCTTAAAAGGATAGGGAGCTCTGATAGCTCAATGCATAACATGTTGGGCTACTAACTCAAAGGCTAGCTGTTCAAATCCACTAGCTGTTTCATGAGAGAAAAACAGGCAGCTTCCTCCTACAAAGATTTCAGCCTTGGAAACCTGATGGAGGGTTACTCTGTATTATACGGAATCTTGCCAGTTTGATTTGGTTCGATTTTTTTAACCAGTATATGGCAAACACTGCTTAAAGTGCTATCCAAAAAACTAAATCTGTTACTGCTGAATTATAGGACTCATAGTGACTCTAGTGTTTATTTTATTTATACAGTTATGATTTAACCCTAATAAAATATACCATATTACCTTATAAGAAAGGTGTGACTTTTTGTCATTCTCATCATACATCTTAGAAAACTAATGGACAAAGAGGTGAAGTGACCAGGCCAGGACTATGTAGTGACTGTTAAATTTCGGCAGTCAGGCTGCAGAGTCCGGTGCTCTTACTATCCCTGTGTGCTGTTGTCAGAACCCACTCATAGCTGACCCTCCAGCACATTTCCAAAAGTAGAAAATCACGTGAAATAAGACCGGCCATTCTTCTCCCACGCAAAAGTGGTGGGTTTGAAATGCCTGCCTTTGAGATTGCCAGGCAGCTTTCCTTACCACAAGGCCACCAGAGTTCCTTCCAATGCTCTTAGTCCTATGCCACCTGCTGCCCCTCAGCTGGAGACAAAGTAGTCGACGACCACCACCCCTCTAGTTTTCTTCTCTATATACACATTCATGTACCCACATGTGCTTAGAATACATAAAACCCAAATTAACATTAAAACTTCCCATGAATATTTTTATTTCATTAATCACATTTAATGGGTAAAAATAAGACCAAGTCAGGGATATAGAGATATTAGATGTCATTCATTCTTTTAATTTAGGTTATAGCACTGAACAAGGCAGGTTCCTAACCCAATGAACATTCATTGTCTTTTTATTTCTATCCATTTTATATGGTGCATATATTTTTTAAGCAGATAAAATATTGCTAATTTAAAAATAATCAGTCTAATTCTCTCACCTATTAATCAGGAAGACCAGAGTAGTAATGGGAGAGGAATATGAAAAACAAATTTTCCCTTTATGGCATGATTTCATCACAAATCATATATCTAGTGCTTAAGTCAATGGCTTTGAATTAAATAATCACAATTCTTTAGAGTTGTTATAAAATTCAGATTCAGCTATTATTTTACTTAGCACATGTATCAGAAACTTTGTTATATTATTAAAATACAAAGTGTCATATTATCCTACAACAATCTTAAAAGGCTTTGATTTCATTTAATATATGTAGTAGCAGTAACAGTAATTGTTGTTATGTACCATTAAGTCAACTATGACTAATAGTGACCCAATGAACAATGACTTTGAACCTTGCCCTGTCCTGAGCCAACCCAACCATCTCTGACACACTTGACCTACTGTCACAATCACTGTATCAATCCGTCTCATCCAGGATGTTCCTCCCTTGCTGACCCTTCCAAGCACGTCCTTCTCCAAGGACTGGTCCCTCTTTCTGAAAGTATGTGAGATAGAGCTTAAAAATCCTTGCCTCTAAGGAGTAGCTTGGTTTCACCCTCTCCAGATCTGGTGGTTCTCTTGGCAGTCCATGGTACATTCAGTACTCTTCTCTAGAACCACAACGCAAAGATATCGATTCTTCTTCTGTCATCCTTAATCACTGTTCAGCTCTCAGATGCACAGCAAGCAATTAAGAAGACCACAGCTTGGATCAGGCACATCTTGGTCTCTAGACTGGCACTGTTGCTCTTTAACACTCAAGAGAGGTCCCTGACAACACACTTTCCAAAAGCAACTTGTTTTTTGATTTCTTGACTGCTGGTGCCAAGAGTATTGATTATGCACCCAGGCAAGATGAAATTGTTAACAATCTCAGCCTTTTCTCTATCTATCATGATGTTGCCAACTGACCCATAGGTGAGAATCTGTTTTCTTAAAGCTGAGACGCAATACCTCTTGAAGACTGCACTCCTTGACCTTCTGCAACAAACAATTCAAGTCCTCCTCACATTCTATGAGCAGAGTTGCATTATCTGCATAACCTAGGTTGCTGACAAGTCTTCTTCCAATTCTGATGTCATATTCTTCCTCGTAAAAGTCCACTCTCCCAAATGATCTGTTCCACATAGAGAATGAAAAGGTATGAAAAAAAGATACATCCTTGACGCACTCCTCCTTTTTTTTGGGGGGGGGGTGTTGTTTGGTGTTTTGGTTGTGTTTTTTTGTGTGTGTGTGTGTTTTTTTAACACGCACTCCTTTTTTAATTTTGAACCAGGCAGTAGCTTCCTGATCTAGGTACAGGTTTCACGTGAGTGCAAATCAGGTGTCTGGGATTCTCGTTCTCAACATTAGCCACAATTTGTTGTAATCCACACAGTCAAATGTCTTTGTACAGTTGATAACACACAGACATTCTTCTGGTACTCCCTACTTTCAGCCATGAACCATCTGACATAAGCAATCAATGGCATCCCCAGTGTAATGTCTTCTAAATCTAGCTTGTTTTCTGGCAGTTCTTTGTTGATTTACTGCTCTAGTTGTTTCTGGATTATCCTCAGCAAGATTTTGCTTGCATGTAATATTAGTGATGTTGTTTGGTAATTTTGACATTTTATTGGAATCTTTAGGAATGGGAAGAAATATGGATCTCTTATAGTCAGTTTGCCACATAGCTGTCCTCCAGATTTTTTGGCACAACCAGGTGAGCACATCCAGGGCTGCATCTGTTTGTTGAAATATCTCAGCTGGTATTCTATCAATTCCTGGGGACTTCTTTTTTGTCAATTCCTTCAGAGTTGCCTGAACCTCCTCCTTTATTATCATCACTTCTTGATCATACACTACTTCCTGACAATGTTCTGTGTTAGCCAAATATTTTTGGTACAGTGATTCTGTGTATTCCCTTCCACCTTCTTTTGATACTTCCTCGATCATTCAGTATATTGCACATATCATCTTTAAAGTATTGCAACTCACAGCTTGAATGTGTTCTTCAGTTCTTTCAGCTTGAGTAATGCTGAGTGATTCTTTTGATTTTCTGGCTCCATCCAGCTCTTTGCACATTTTATTATGATATTTTGCTTTGTCTCCCGGAGCTGCCCCTTGAAATATTCTGTTCAACTCTTTCACTTCATCATTACTTCCTTTTGTCCTGATTTCTCAGTGTTCTAGTGTAATATTTAGAGTCTCCTCTGGAAGCTATCTTGGTATTTTCTTCCTCCTTTGTCTCTGTAATGACCTTTTGCTTTCTTCATGGATAATATTCTTGATATCTAATCTGGTCTTTGTTTATTAGTGTTTAAAATGCATCAAACCTGTTTCAAGATGGTTTTTAAATTCAGGTAGGATAGACTCAGAGTCATATTTTCTTTTTTGTGGATTTGTTTTAATTTTCTTTTGCTTCAATTTGAATTTTCACATGAGAAGTTAATGATCCGTTCACAATCAGCACCTGGTTTTTACAGCTGATAATGAGCTGGTCTAAGACTGTTTCCATAGTTAGAAACAATCTGATTTCTCTGTAGTCCATCAGGTGAGGTTCATGTGTATAGTCATTTCTGCTTTTCTCTCACAAAATCAATAGCTCCATAAAACCTATACATCTTTTAAAAATACTATTTGTAGGGCAAAGAACCATAAATAAGATCTTGGTCTTCAAAGCATTTTTTTAAAAAGAGAAAATTCTATTAAGTGCACACTGTAGGAAACATTACTAAGTAAATGTTGAATTGTTCAAGAGAACAAAGATGTGGGTTATTGAGTAAATGGCAGTATTCTGCCTTGTCAATGTGTGTGTATTTCACTCTTGCTATTTCAAAAATTCTGATATGGATGTGGCCTTGTATCTTCAAGTCATTTATAATTTAGAGAGTAAAGCAAGATATATACATTCAACATTAATTAAAGCAAAAGATTTAAATATTGTTATCTACAATATTGGTGTTATATGTTGGTTAAAAAAAAAAGTTAACTGAATTATACAGAAAGTAAGTCTTAAAAAACCGCCCCCTGAACACTAGAATATGAAATGAGAGAAGTCTGAATGCTAGATTTCTAGAAGAGAATATGATTTTAGAAACCAAAAGAAATAAAAACAGGATTTTATCTGAAGAAAAGGAAAACAAAAACTTGAAAGGTTCTGAGAATTAAGATAGCATTTGAAATATGGGTACACCTGTGCAATGCTTCATAAGTCTGCCACTCTGAGCATAGGGGACAAAGTTCCCTCAGGGCCCTTTGTGGTACCTGACCAAAGGTGGTTTGGAAAACAGGTCAAGGAGAAGAGGCAGAACTGAGTAGTGAACAGCATATCAATTTACAATCTTTTACGTCTCTCTTTGCCCATATAATATGAAACATCCTATTATCACTGCTAGTAATTTTTCAAACACCTTAAGTAGAGTAAACTAGCTATTATACATTATTCTTACCTTAAAATTACAGCTAATAGTTTAGAAAGGGTAAATCTATCTCCACTGTTACTTGGAAACACTGCAGCAAGGATTAAAGTAAAAAGTCCTATGGGAGAATGGATGAAAAAGAGTGCATTAGTTTGGATTCTATCAATATTATTTACTACCAACTTGGTTGTTTAAATAAGTAAATTATATACCTAACTTTTAAATTATGTTTTGCATGTTTAAATTTGTAAAAAATAAGACTGCAATTACCCAGGGTAAAAATTGGTAAGATTAGGAAAATAACCCCAAAACTAAACTAAGCTTATTTAAACAATACAGAGTAAGTATAATTCTATTTATTTTAAACTATAATATGTGAGTTAAAGCTTGGATTCAGAGTATCATTCAGATCTCATAAAAACCAAATCTGTGTACTGATGTTATTTTTAAAGCTTCAAAAATACTTCTCCTATCCTCTGGATTTGGAAAGTGATTCACTTTAAAAAAAAAAAAACTAAAACCTTTTCTACGGTAAATTATAGTTCTAAAATAAGCAACTGCATTTACCCACAGAGTCAGCAACAGTATGTGAAGAGAAAAACAAGTACAATATAAGAGCCACCCTATAACATTTTAATATCCTGTTGTAAAAGCATTATAATGTGTTTACAAGTATGTAAATAACCACAGGAATGAAATTATAAACAGTACAGAGCAAAGATAATTCACTAATATGTATTAAAATATCATTTATAATGTACGCACATATGCCTGCTCTGTGTGTCTATCAAATGTAGGCCTAGTTTTTAACAAAAAATTCTTACCAGAAGTTGAAGACAAAATATTAACTATTGCAACTTGTGTGTCAGAAAGTGCTTCTTGATAAGACAAATTTGCCAAAAACCACTAAAGAAAACAGAGTGAAACTTAATGAATATTTGTTATTACAATTTACACTCTTCCTTTTTCTTTTTTCTATATACACTGTTATCATGAGTGGTTATAAAAGTAGTTTTGTATTTATAAATTACAGCCCTCAAAAAAGGACAAACTATTAAAAGGTATCACTATCCTTTTTATAAAAAATTTTATTTTATTAATTTTAATGAACGTTTACAGAGATTTTGGATTACCATTCATTCATTGTTGCATTCTTCTCCCTGCCCACCCCTCCCCCACCCCAGTTCGCTCTACTCTTTGAAAAGAAAAATTCTTTCATTAGTATACAGTCCCCCCACCAACCCTCAAGTACACAGTTTAAAAGCGGTATATTATTGATTGGGTATTATGGTCATGACAAGAGTACAGAATGAAGGTCACTATCCTTTTTTAATGAATTTAAATTAATTTAATTAAAAGTGTTAATTTCCCTTAAAATTGATGGTAATAATAGTTGATTAAAAAAAAATAGTTGATTAAAAATCAGCAGTCTGTTTGAATTTTTTCCCCTATGTTTTGTCCTCTGATAATTTTTTAATTTTTATTTTATACTGTTTTATTTACAAAGTTCATACACATTGTTTTTCACACAGATATTTCCCATTTCCTTCACCACCACTCCCAGCATTCTGGTTTTTAATGTAGTAAAATCAATTATTAGAACATTAAAATTTGTTTTATCCAAGTACAGCTAGCACTCTTACATTTAGTTAAATGAAACTGAAATTTTAGAAAATGGGTAAACATCTGAAGCTGCCTTATATAACATAGATGACTGCAGTATGATGAGAAATCTATGAAACAAGATGATTTAATGGAAATAAATAGATGCCATCTAGTGCAGACTGACAGATAAGAAATAAATTCATTTTGGAAATTCAGAAATATTCTCAAAAATTATAAATTTGCTAATTGTGATTGTTTCTCTAACACTCAGTGTTTGTATGACTCGGATATAATTAAGATTTTTCATCTTTGAAGATGTTTCCTCATTTTCCTCTTCTGCTCATGAAGGTTAAGGTATTCTTTATTATTCATTTGTGCTCTTCTTGACAAAGAAATAAGATTTCCTTTGAAAGAATTTTGATAGGTATCTGTATGTGTCCAAAATTAATTTCTTTCACTGTTACAGCATATTCTAATGGATGTTACCACAATTCATTCATTTTGATGAATACTTAGGATATTATTTCAAATAATGTGCTATCATTATTTAAAATATATCCCCTGGTGCATATCTACATTCTTGAACAACCTAGGTTTTGGAAAACTATACAATACAGAAACTACCACAATTATCAATCTGGAATTTTCTGGAATTTTTTACTTATACAAATTGACAAGTTAACTATATTCCACTTATCTCTATTAAAAAGAGGGACATCTCTTGATATCTTTCAGAACTTGCAGTTAAGTGAGTAGTAGAAGCTAAGGATTTCTGAGCATTCAGCAGTCTCCATTTCGACCAAAACTAAAGCCAGAGTGAAATTTCCAAAATGGTTTGATTATATCTTCAGTCCTTTGACATTTTACCTTTTCATCTAAATAGGGAAATGAGGCAGCATTTGATGAGATGGGCGATACCAAATATACATAGCTAAAGGAGTCACAAGATGCCTGCAGGTGAAGTGTTAGAAAAGAGGGAGAAGATTCTGCCCTAAACTGCCCTTCAGCGACAAAAACAGGTAGAGGATATAGAGTGGTAATTAGTATTCTTGACCCATTTTCCTGTCTCCTCTAATACTTAAATACTTTGCACATTTTCTAAACAATTGCACTAGTAACCATGAAGAACAAAGCAAATTATTATTTTGATGGTAACATTTAAAGATAGTAAAAATTTACTGAGCTATAAATTCTTTACTGAAGAGCCTTCCTCATTCTTCTCCCTTCCCAAAACTCCACTTTCTAGCTTGTCAGCCCAAGGCATCCTCAAAAAAAGAATCATAAGTCTCTTAAAAAAAAGTCCTTATAAATTTGTCTCTAGCAAACAATTTACATATTTCATGGGTGCTAATATATAAGTTATCATTAAAGGTATTCTGTCAATGTCTCACCTAAATTCTATTTTATTTAAAAAAAATATAAATCTTAATGACAGACATAATAGTAATATGGTGGTTAAAGCACTTGAATACTAGCCAAGAGGCCAGCAGCTGAAACTCACTGGGTGCCCTGAGGGATAAAGACCTGGAAGTCTGCTTTCGGTAAATATTTAGTCTTGGAAATCTTATGTACAGTTCTAGTCTGTCCTATCAGGTCATTAAGAGTTGGAATCAACTCAATGCTAATGAGCTAGTCTTGGAAGCAAGACAAACCATACTTAAGAAAGACTAGCAAATATAGTAATCTTTAACTCTTTCTGACATGCACTGTACAATGCATTCTTGTTGTTAAGCGTCAGTGAGTTGAGACTGACTTAATAACAGAACAACAGATCTGAAACCCATCCTATCTTTACCATCCCTGATACACTTAAGCCTACTGCCCAAGACACAGTTATCAATCCATCTCTTTGGTGGTTCTCCTCTTTTTCACTCCAAAAACAGCCTCTCCTAATATATACAAAATTTGCAATACTAAGCTTTATCATCCTTGCCTGCAAGGAGCATTCTGGTTGTACTTTCTCTAAGATGTATCTGTTCTATTGGGAGTCCATGTGATGATATTTATTTAGCACTCTTCTCCAACACCACAAATCAAATACATTGATTCTTCTCCTGTTATCTTTATTCATTGTCCAGATCTCAGATGCACAGTAAGTGATTTGAAAGACTATGGTCTGAATCAGGAGCATGTTAGTCTTTAATCCAATTCATTAGTCACTAGTTACATGTGGCTACTTTTCAAAACTATGATTTGAGTAAAAGTTTAAATAGCGTATTATTTTTTTAATAAAACTGACTATACAGCAGTAGCAACCAAAACAGCATGGTACTGGTACAATGACAGGCACAAAGATCATTGGAATAGAACTGAGAACCCAGAAATAACCCAGCTATCTATGGTCAACTGATATTCAACAAGGAAATAAAATCGATCAACAGGGAAATGACAACCTCTTCACCAAAGATGCTGGTAAAACTGGACAGCTACCTGCAGAAAGCTGAAATAGGATCCACATCTCACATTACACACAAAAATCAACTCAAAGTGGATCAGAGACCTGGGAGTAAAGTCCCAAACCAGTAAAGCTCATCAGAGACAAACTGGATCAAGCTTAGACAGCCTAGTCTATGGTACAAAGAGACTGCCAAATACAGCCAGAAATGTGCAATCTGGAGAAGATAAAATTGATGAATAAGACTTTCTAAAGATTGAAAGGATTTTAAATTGTCATTTATTTAAAACATTTTATGTCACGAAAGTTATAAACTGGATGTCACTGATTTGGGCACCAAAAGAAAGAAAGAAATGTAAACTCTCAAACCAATAATTTTTATATTGCCAAAACTAGTATACAGATAAAGTGAGTGGGTTAGTTAAAACTAATACTAAAATTAATTGCCTCTTTTGCCTTTAAAGTACAGTTGGCAAAAAACTTGGAAAATAAAAAGATAACTTGCATTTGAAGCTAATCTGACATTTCTGCCCAACAGCACTCCCCAGATCTTACCTAAGATTTTACTATTTAGTTAGGTTTAGAAAAGCCCATGTCTTTCTTAAAGCTTAGTTAGCATAGCTTTCTGCTCTTTGAACTTTTTCAAAATTACTCTTTTTGAAAAGACTATTAATTATAAACCTGATATACAGAACAGTGCCTTACACTTGAGGCCTTGGAAATGTGGTGATGGAACAATAAATGAATGGAAATCCAAGTTCTCTAGAAACTTTTATTAAAATCTCAATTAAAATTAAATAAAATTTTTAAAAATGTGGTGATGGAGAAGAATGTCGAATATACCATGGACTGCCGAAAATACAAACAAATATGTCTTTGGAAAAAGGGTGCTCCTTAGAGGCAAGATAGTGAAACTTTCCCCCGCATACTTTGGGCATATTATGAGGAGCTATTCTTTGGGAAGGGAGATCATCTTAGAAAGATAGGTGGTTAGTAAAGGAGGTGAAAACCCTCAACAAGATGCACTGACACAGTATTCTAGCAGTGGACAACATGGCACAGAAAAGGGCACAAGACAGTTAACTATGAGCAGTTCCCCAACTCCACAGCAATTGAGACTCCTGTCAATTTCATTAATTACATTATAGTGTAAAATGACAATACCGATTCTGAATCAATGAAAAACTTTCAAGAGTTTCCTAAATTATTTATATCAGTATATACATAAATAGTCCTCAACTTAGGATAAGGTTCGATTTCCATGACTCCAAAATAAATCGGTTCCGCCATAAATCAAATATTTCCTTTTTCAGTTTTCATTATTATTGCCTTAGTATATTTATAAATCTGACGTTTACTTGTCTTTATGGAGTTGGAAACATTACATATAAACTTACAGATTTATGACATCAACAAATTACATACTACAGTGTTTATGCAGTACATCTAAGTAATGATGAGATGTATGAGAATCAAAGCAGATGGTTATAACTGATTTGTTGTAACCTGAATATGCTGCAAGGTTGGAACTACACATATACAAACACATACAAGAAGTTCCAGGGTTATGAAGAAGATCTGTTCATATATCTTTAAGAATTTTCCCAGTCAGAACAGGGGCATAAAGGATTTTTTTAGTCTTACTTTTGTGCAAAGAAAGAAGTCCTGGTGGGAAGAAGGGTGTTGAGTGGCTAACTAGAAAGTGGTTCAAGCCCACTATTCAATCTGTAGGAAAAACAATCTGAGGCAATCTGCTCCTATGAAGATTTGCAGCTGTGGAAAGCAGGCAGTGCTGGCTGCTACATCGTACACTGTAATGTCAACAGTAGTTGAAACTGGATCTAAGGCAGTAAGACTGGGTTTTGGTTTGTAATGTAAGAAAAGCCTTTTCAGTGATTTAAAAGTAGCAAGTGCATCAAATGAAGGTAATTATGATTAAGAATTTGCTCAGTGCAAAAAAGGAAGGGTAATCCCCTCTCATAAAGATTCATGCCCTTGGAAACCCAATGGAGGGTTGACATGTATTGCAATCAACCTGATGATAATGGGTGGGGTTTAATAACATTAAGGGTAAGCAAGAGTTGTCCCTTAGTTGGATATCCATAATCCAGGGACTAACTATACCTCTGATTTATGTACAGTATAATCTGTAGTCATAATCCAACCCCTGAGAAACCTATTATACTAAAAATTTAAGGTATCTAATGATTCATTACAATAAACAGAAGCTACTTGTGATACACATCAAAACTTTATTATTACAATAAAGATGTATTTGAAAGTGCTTTTTTAATGTTTTATGCATAGAAAGTTACACTGTAGGCTATATACAGTGGGAGAGGGAGAAATAGGAAGGGGGAGAGGTAAGATGAGGAGGAGTGATTAAGAAAAGCATTTGGTGATAGATATAAACCATACATTTTTGCCTAACTGTTCTGACTTGTGAATAACTTTCCTTAAAGAAGATAGGAACAAAACTTATTCATAATCTGATAACCACATACTTTAATGTTATAAGATTTATTGCATACTAATTTTGAAGTAAAACAAGCATATGTTAGTTTGGGTGGCATAATCCTTAGAGAACTGCATTAGTGCCTCTCTGGTAATTTGAATCCACCAACAGCACTGCAGGACTAATAGGGGAACTCTCCTCTTCTTCAATTTATACCCTCCCAAAAACCCACTGGAAGACCAGCGAAGAGTCAGTTTCAACTGGACAGTAATAAATTGAAATGAATTACACAGAGATGAGTAGAAAGTTTAAGCAATCTAATCATTTAAACCTTAATAACACTATATTGTTGGTATGTTTTACTATCTTAAATTCAAGTTGCAAATATATAATAAGAAAAGACCTACCACAAAGCAAAAAAAAAAGCTTATTTTTGCTACTTGAGTTGCATTAAGTTTCCCCACAGTTTTCAGTATGGACTCTTGTTCTTTGACAGCAGGATAAGACATGCGTGACAACTTAGCCTCTAATGCATGGCTTGACGGTAGCTGTCGGATCTCCATGATATTGCTGAATCTTACACGAGACTTTTTAGGAGCTTAAAAGAAAAAAAGAAAAAAAACGGGGAAAAAATTTAAATGTTTCCTCTTGGGAACAACAAAAGGGACAAGTTTCTATTTATTGATAAATACTTATTACTTAATCAATCTATAATCAGAGTTAGAGAATTAAAGAAAATCAGAGAGTTGTTAAAGAGTTGATTTTGTTCATTCAGAAGTATTTAAAGTAAAAATAGTTTAATGGATGTATTAAAGTGAGACCAAAATTAAAACAAGGTTTCTGCAATTGTATATACGCACAACTGACTGATTCAAAATTGTAATAGTACTATTATTTTTGCATTTTTAGGAAAACTATAACTAGGTTTTTTTCTCATGGATAGCCAATTACTGAGAATTACTTTCCTCGGCAAGCATGCAGAACAGTCTATCCTTTGCAAGGGGATTTTATTGGCAAAGACTGTGCCTTACGTAAATCTGGCACTCTTTTACTAAATTCACAGAGCCAACAACATGTTTGTAAGTTGTTATCAAGGTCTTTGGGGGTATGGTTAAAGAGAATATAGTTTATGTAAAAACAAAAAAAACATGATGAACCCCAGAAATTTCTGGTATTTTAAGATCATTCCCAGTTGAATTAGACAAAAAAAACAACTATACACAACTCAGTCAAGGGTCCAGAAGGCTGCAGTGCTAATAAGAACAGCCTGGCCAACTCAGAATCATTAAATTTTGGAATGGCTCAAGAAAAGACAAATTTCCACCATTTCTACATTATAAAAAACACTAAATTTTTGCTTACTTTTTTCCATATCAATGTTTGGGCTGTCTGGCTTTTCACTTGGAAGATCATGAAATTTCACAGGGACATACAGAGGTTCACTCTGCAATGTTAACAGACACATATCAAACATAAACAGCAATGACAATAGCTGGCATACTGGTTAAAATTTAAATGATGGTGGACACAGATACCACCCTAAAAACAGGTCTGTTATCATGTTCATAAAGTAAAAATTTCCCAAAGCACATTTTTTTTTAAACTTTATCTGTTTTTAATCTCTAAAAGATGACCAAAGCACATTTTAAGACTTAAAAAAAGAGATCTAGCAAATCTACACAGATACAATGACAGAAAATAATCTGTTTAAAGGTTAGTAACAGAAGTTATTATCACATATAATAGTTAATATTTAAAAGTCATGAAAACAGACCTCTCAGCTAGCAGAGTATTTCCAATCTCTATTAATTTATTTTTTTCAACAAACATGTAGTAAGTCTATGTTAAACCCAACAATAGGAACTTGTCAGGCAAGATTCTAAGTCCAACAGATGTAAAATAAACTCTGTTTTCAATGATTATACTTTAAAGGAGAAAACAATGAGCAGATAATATATAATATACATTTATATTTCACTAATTATCTCATCTTATGACTTAAGATTTGACTAAATAAAAAAAATTACTTAAATCTTTACACGATTAGTAGATTTTTACAAACAAAACATTTTTAAAATAGCAGATTTTTCAAAGCAAAACAGAACATTGAAAACAAAACACAAACCCTACCAGCACTTACTATATAGCAGGTACAAAGTACTAAGAAGTTAAACACAAATTTCTTATTAGTTCTCACAACAATCTTACAAAATAGATATTTTTTTTTAAATTTAGGTTGTTTATTTTTCATTTCAATGAACATCTACAGAGATTTTGGGATTCCATTCATTCATTGTTGCACCCTTCTCC